ATTTGGAGGCTAACAACCAGAGCTGGCAGGGCCAGGATTACTACTACCTGGTTTTAATGGTTTTCATATAACACCCAATAAACTGTTCATATCAATCAGCCTCTAGCATCATTCGCTCTTTACCCCCACTAAACTCTGACTTCTGTTCCCACCACTGTATTAAACTCCTCAGCCCAATCACTGGTAAAGCACTAGCAACTGCTTTTAAATTGACCTCATGGCTTCATTTGACTATGTGGACCTCTCTCCCCATGGACTTCCACACCAGCCTTCTGTTCTAGATTCTTCCCACCACTCCAGCCACTTCTTGTATGCTCCTTTGTGAACATCTCCACTCACCCTTTCAACCAGAGTTCTGTCTTCTTCATTTTTGGAAAGTGGTAATTATGAAAAACCCCAGCTCATTCTCCAGTCAAATGCTTTGAGGGGTGGTCTGGGTGGTTCTGCTGTCTGAACCTAAACTTCCCATGTCAGAATGTATTTGGAAATTGAGAGTGTGTGATCTGTTCCACACAAACACCCATGACTCCTTACAAGTCCTACCACTTCTTTGGACCTTATAAAAGAACTTGTCTAAATTTCCCACCTCTAGGATCTCAGTCTGGGGGATAATCTAGAGACATCTCAGAGATACCCTCCTCATAAGCAGAATATGGTAGGAAACATAATCTGTGAAGCAGCAGATTCAAGAGGTTCTTTGAATATAAAGTCCAAAGTCCACTTAGTTTCTTAATATTAAAATTATTTCTGATAACTTTGAACACAGCAGTCTCCCTCCCTCCTAATGGTCAGAGGGCCATTAACAAGTAAGAGCTTAGTGAGCTGTAATGTTCTACATGCATACAAAGAAACTCTTTTTATGGACCTTCACTCAGGTTCACAAATGGTTTAGAGCAGTTTATTCACTTAGCCATTAACTATCACAAGGTAGCAACCAACATTTTAATTATAGAAATGTGAAAAATGATCTCTTACTGTTGATTTGCATTTCTGGTTCCCAAGTTGATTGAATAGACATCTGGCCTACGTACAATGAATGACGTGGGACCACAGGACAGAGCATTGCACTGGCAGGGACTGAAATATCCCATTTTAAGGATGATTTGTTAAGTTCAAGAATGAATCACCAGGCTCCCTTTGGATCTTTAATCCACTCTTGAGCTCCAAGTAACTGCTCCCAGTGCTACCAGGTAGAAGCCCTAAGTGGCAGGCTGGTTCCGTTATGATCTGTTTCCTTTCTTAGTAAGAAGTCAGAATCAATCTATCTGCCTTTAAATCCCCTGATCTAATCAGCAGGGCTTGAAACTGATAACCAAGAGGGAAGTGGAGTGCCTACCTAGCCAGAGCACACAAACCGGATGCGTGGAGGGTATCAGCTATATCACAGCGAATCAGGAAAATAATAGGGGGAGTTCCCAGGACTTATCGGGGCAGGAAGAGACTCAGATGTTTCTATATCAATGCAAAAATCATGGAAGGTGGTAAAATTCAGCTTGAGTTTAATGACAGGCAGTATTCTCCCTCATAGATGGGACTGAAGAATGAAAATTTTTCCCAAACATACTTAGTAAAATTTCTGCAGTGTGAATATTAACAAACCGATATGGAGAGGAATGCACAACTGCTCTAAAAATATATTCAATAAAAAAATTCTGTAGTATGGAGGAAGCCACACACCCACCTGTAGGGAAATCACTAACCCTGAAAAGAAGCATTTGGTGGAGAGTAGTTGAGTGGTGAAGCAGAGAGGAAGCCTGAAGGAATCTACCACAGAAGACCTGGCCTCAGAGAACACATGGATGAGGTATCCCATTATCCCCAGACTGGCCCAGAAGTGGTGCAGGGCAAGATTCGTTATAAAAGGGGTTTCTGCTCTTCATCATCCTAAAGCCTCATGTGACTAAAACCAGAGACTCCAAAAGAAACATGCCCCTCTGAGGGTATGTCTGCCAACATTAAAAGTTCAGAAAAAACATGGGTAGAATTTTATGGCCAAAGGCAATAGGAAAGAATGTTCAAGAGAGGAAATGGTAAAGCTCTATTCAGGTCTACGCATCTCATTAATTCTTGACTTACCCTGATGCTAATTCTGAAGTTGAGGAAACAGAGACCACATTAATTTATAGATTACCTAGGTGATAGAGGCAGGGTCTAATCCATAGTGACTCAAAATCCCTCTTTCCACCCCACCCATCCCACTGTACCCTCTACCTCTCATTTGAAATGGAGAGGTCTGTTGAACCCAAAGAGTGGTGATAGATAGATCTCTGCCCAGAATTTCAGGATGAGACTAAACAGGTCATCTAGGGTCCTGGACCGGAGGCTACTTTGTAAAATGTTGTGCTCAAATAGAAACCAGATTACCACTAATAGTGAGGTTAGCATCAGTTTCAGAAGGGAAATGGTGGTGAGAGGGTGGCACATGGTTACGTAGATAGTTTCTGGGTTTTCCTATTGTGCAATCTGAGGACAAGAAGGAAAACATGAACCAAGCATCCTAATCACATTTATTCCCAACTAATTTGTGCTGAGATCTGTTTATTGGGGTTTTCAACTCTGCCTGCACATCAGTCACCTAGAGATTTGCGCAAATGCCCAGGCTTGCTTCCCTTGGTTTAAAGATTCTCATACCTTGCTTATTTAGAAAGGTCAGACTTCCTCCTCTTTACAACAGTGCTTCATTAGTGTCTGCAGTCTGGTTGTTGGAGTGTGTGCGTGGGCATACACACTTGAAGCTGGGTTTGTCTAACATTTGCGTAAGTGGAACACATTGATCATAGAAAGAGAAGGAGTGGGAGGAAAGGGCTCTGGCCCGAGGGTTAGGAGCTCACAGAGGTTTTATCCTAAACTCTTGAAATGCCTGGAGCCTACACCATGGTAGAAACTTTGCAGTTTGGATGGAAATCTAAATTGATCTTAAACAGTGTGGCTACCCTATTTCTTCATATGCATCCTCGAATTACACAGTGAGGCCTCAGTGGACTGTCCCTACACCAGATGATGTCCTGAAATCCCCAAATCTGCTTTTTATACTTTGTCTTCTCCCTTCTCCGTGGATATTACTTGATTGGCAGACACCTTCTACTTTGATGCTTCTAAGCTGTTATGAAATAGAGAAGATACCTAAACAGGTGAGAAATCTGTGTCACACTGAGGCAGACTAGCATCAGGAAAATAACCCGCCATGGAACTCCCTCCTCTTAAGCAAACAGATATCTTCATACTAGACTTTTTTCCCCACTGTTCCCCCAGCATTACTCTGAACCATCTCTAGAGCAATAGATCCCCTCTGAATTATAAATAACCTGGCAGTCATAAATATCTTTGCAACATAGTGTCCAAAGGGGCGCCTCTGAACCAGGTTTGCCTAGTAAAAGGAAGGCCTGCCCCCAATTTGACCTCTCAGGAAAAGTCATTTACTTAAGACTTTATAAATATGGGTCAACTTTCATACATACAATTAAAGGCCTGGAAATTAGAATAAGTACATGTATAGAATATCCCATGTTATAAGACTATGTTAATTAAATCTGACAGCCACACTAGCTCTTTCCTAGGGACTGCCCAGATTTTTCCTGCTTTACAACTAATAAATTGGTCTTTAAACAAAGAGATCAATTCTTCCAGTCCACCTGCCAGGAGCCCACTGCTTTTTCTCTTACTCTTTCTTCTCTTTTCTTTCAATAAAATTTTGCTACTGTTTTGCAATTTGTATCTCTGTCCAGTTCTCTGTTCAGGTGACATAAGAACTTGGAATCTTGTGGACTAGTGTCTTCTTAGACTACTCAGCACAGTAACAACATGACATCAAAAAGCTGCCAGTAGGAAGTTCTACCTAATGAATGAACTACCTGCTCAGATAGTTGTTTCTTGTCGGTGTGTTCCAGACATTGAAGCTATTGCTGAGACCCCCAAATAAGAGAAATTCAATCAGTGCTAATTCCTATCACTTCCACTTTATAAGGACCATCAAAGAGGCCCCCCAAAATCTTTTTAACCAACACAATTAAAAGACACTGGCCAGCTGGGCATGGTGGTATGCACCTGTTAATCCCAGCCCTTGGGAGATGGAGGCAAAAGAATTTCGAGTTTGAGGCCAGGATAGAGTACACAGTGAAACCCTGACTCAAAACAACAAAGATGTCACTGATTGAGCCACAATAGGACTCTTTGGTGTCCTTATAACTTTCATTTCAGAACATTAGGCATGTTCAAAGCAATATAGAAAAGCTTAGCCATGTTGAAGACTTTTGTTAAAGGTTATATTACTACAAAACCCCAAGAAGATAATAAAATAATAAAGTTTTGACCCAATGTTTTAAAATTTTATTTTAGTAATGAAAGAATAATCTATTATTCTTAAACAGCTTATTAAAGGGCACAAGATAATAATGTTTTTTAGAAGTATTCTATAAATATTTTTTCTTTCACTTTGCTGATTTCTGCAAGATGAGGTCCATTATTGTTGCAATAACCTATTTAGTAGAGAGAAAGGATGAGAGGGCAAGCTGCCCCCAACAGAGCACTCCTGCTGGTCTTTACCAAACCAGGAGCTTACTCAGGGAAAGACTGTACAGGTGTGTGATGCAGCACAGGCTTACACTGAAAAGGTATGTATACTGTTGTTATAATTTATTAAACCCTTTTCAAATAGTTTCACAAACCACCTCAAGACATATCACAAAAACAAAGCAGATCACATCTCTTCCTTTTAAAGGGCATTAGGCTTTACTAATTTATCAGATTATACTTAAAGAAATAAGAAGCCATCTCCTTCAAAGGACCTGTTTGCCTCAGAATAGCCATTTTTGAATGGCTATTTTTGAGACTCAGGCATCATAACTCGACCATGCGGACTATGCCCTGTTCCTCTAGCAGACCAGGCCCAAACACGGCCCACCTGGTTCTTGAAGTAGTACAGGCCTCATCCTCAATTCAGAGTGACAACCACAAGCAGCAGAGAGATTGACCAGATACCAATCAGAGTCCACAAAAGAAAACCATCTTTACTGATGAATCATTTATTTGGACAAGACAAAAACGTCTCCACATGGTTTCCTTTTATACAGAAATGGAACATTTCAAATATATTAGTTTTTCTCTTTTTCAACAGAATTCATTTCAGTCTGGTCCCAGGAACTGCTTCTCAGGTTAGGATTCACGTTTTAGTAACACATATGCACCCATCACAGCCAAAAGAGCATACTGTAAAGGAAACACAATGGAAAATGAGGTTTACAAATAAACTTGGCCTATAAACGTATTGAGATGAAATCTGTGCAATCCTGGACTGAGGACAGAATCAAAAGGTGACCTCTCCCCTACATGCCTGTCTTCCAAATTAGTGTTCAATGCCACACTATGATTAAAGACCCCAAAATACAAAAATGGCCTAAGGATCAAACACCCAGCAAACACGGCTAATGCAGTGCTTATTCCTAGGGAGGGTTCCTATTGTTCTTGAAGTGATCTAAAAAACAGAGATGACATTTATATTGAAGTTGGTAGATAAGCAATAATGAGTTTATTGTACTATTTCTTTGTATATTTGAAAATTTCCATAATAATAAGCAATAACCATGTACCATTTCCGAACACACTATAAACATAAAAGGTGGCAATAGCTACTTTCAATACTTAAATGTCAATAATTTAAAGGATTATGTTCATTTGTAATTAATTATAAAAACGGCAGAAAAATTCAAGACTGCTTCTTTATAGCTGTACAAGAACACCAATATTTAAGAAAATAAATAAATACAGACACATAAATTCCTACCTTGAATTTTGGATAGTCATTCATTATTATGGTGACCATGCCGACATATGGTAAAAACCTAAATTGTAGGAATAAAAAGCAAGAAATACAAAAATTGCTTATGTTATGATAATAGCAACATTTGACAACTCTATAAATAAGCTTTAGAAAACAAATCTTCCATAGGAATACCACTGATCAGGGCTGTAAAGCCAGTATTCACCCATCTCAAGTTTGCTTGATTAGTACAAAACATCAAAGCTAACAGCCAGAACAACTTTTTTTAAGAAGACACATGATTTGAGCTAGTGATGCTACTTGTCTTCATTTGCTATAATTAAAATAATTAGCTGAGTCATTTTAACAAATAGAATAGGCAACTTTCACAGATCTAGTTCTTATTTTCTTAGGAGAAAAGGAAGTTTCAGGTGGCCTAAATCAAACTGCTGTTAGGTAAAGCTTTAAAGCACATGGATAATTAGTTTGTAATTTAAAGAATCATCATCATTTTCTTTTCACAGTGCTTTTCAGATGTAACAAACAAGTTTACTGGGCAGTGAATACAAATGTGAATTCCATAACTCAAATGTGATTATGATCCCAGAGAGAGAAGGTTCAGAGCCCATAATTATACTGACAAAATTAATATCAATATGTAATCAGTCTGACCCAAGTCTCACATCTCTGCTAAAGAATAAAGCTAACATAGCCACAGTACCCTCCAGCCAGCAATCAATAGCTCCAACCTCTAGCTTGTCCACAGCCTTTCACAAAGTGTTAAGAGATACTAGCTGGAAGTGTTCATTATCTCCCCACAGGTATTCAAGTGAAAATGAAATCAGAGAAAAATGGTTAACAGCATGGCAAGAGCCTTATGCCACAATCTGATTAGTAAAGCTAAATCTTAAGACAATGGTAGAACTCTCACAAGCTTTATGGAACTGATGAGACTGAGATACCAAGAAGACATTTCTAAAAAGGATCACCAAGGGGGAAGAGCCTCCTTTTTTGGTTTTTTTAATAAGAAGATACACTCTATGCTGTGTCAATCAGAAGCAGAAGTTGTCACTGGAACAATCACATAAAATTAATATTAAAGGATTTATCACAGCTGGGTGTCAGTGGTCCACACCTGTATTCCTAGCTACTTGGGTGGCTGAGATCAGAAAGATCACAGTTTGAGGTCAGTTCAGGCAAGCAGTTCTTAAGACCCCCATCTCCAAAATAACCAGGGTAAAATGAACTGGAGATGTGGTTCAAGTGGTAGAGTGCCTGCTTTGTAAGCATGAAGTCCTGAGTTCAAACCCCAGTCCCACCATAAAAAAATAAACAATTTATCACAGAGAGGGCACAGTGGCTGAAACATGTAATCCTAGCTACTTGGGAGATGGAGATCAGGAAGATTGTGGTTCAAGACCAACCTGGGCAAAAAAGACTACAAGATCCCATTTCAACCAATGGCTGAGTGAAGTGGCAGGCATCTCAGCTATACATGGAAACAAAAAACTACACAGGGAAGAAGTCCAGGCCAATCTGGGCATAAAGGGAGACTTTATCTCAAAAATAACCAACACACAGGGCTGGTAGAAGGGCTCAAGTGGTACAGCACCTGCCTAACAAGCATGAGGCCCTGAATTTAAACCTCAATACTGCCAAAAAATAAATAAGAAAAAAAAATAAAATTAATTAATTAAATAAAAATTTTAAATAACACAAAAAAGACTGGTGGAATGGAATGACTCATGTGGTAGAGCATCTGCCTAGCAAGCATAATGTCCTGAGTTCAATCCCCAGTATCACAAAAAAAAATTTATCACAAAACTGCTTTTAGTTTTGAAAAGTAGATAGGAAATAATATAAATGACTACCACAAAAAGTCTACCAAAAGATGCTTGGTTACAAAAGTTACAATTATCAATAGAATAACATTTATCTATTGAAAAAGATGACGGTGTAGATTTGACACAAAAAAGCCATTTCCCACTTCTTGTTGGGTGAACAAAAAGTCTTCCAGGTAAAATTGATTAAAACACACACACACACACACACCCCTTAGGCAGAGAGCATCCAGAACATTCACCAAAACGTCAATCAGTGGTCAAGTCTAGGAGGATTTTTTATCATTGCTATTTAAAATCAACAAATAGCTAATCTCCAGGTGAGGATATATTTTGAAATAGACTTTAACCCATGATATAGATAATATACTCAGATACAGTTTTAGATTTTAGGTCCTCAGGATGTTTTAAGTTTCCTTCCTTCCTTCTTCCCTTTCTCCTTTCCTCCCTTCCTTCCTTTCTTATCCTTCTCCTTCTTCCTCCATCTCTCCCTGCCCCGCCCAGTACTGGGTTTGAACTCAGGGCCTCCCTCTTGCTAGGCAGACACTCTACCTTGAGCCATGCCATCAGTCCTTTTTTTTTTTTAATTTTCTTCATTAGACTTCACAGTACAAAGTAGAACTACTTAGAATACTCCTGACACATCATATTTGTAATAAATTACCCTATTATCCTACAAATTTAGTACCTTTGTTTCTACATATTTTCTTGGTTCCTGAACCTGAACCTGTTGTATAACTTAGAAGTTCATCCTCACCCTCGTGCTCTTCCCACCACGTCCTTCTTTTCCAACCAGTTCTGGCCTTCTTTGTACAAGCCTCTATCATCAACCTCATTATTATCTCCTTTAGTCAGGAACTTAATGTCTCCATTATCTCTGGAAAGCAAAATAATATCCTTTTAAAAACTATTTTCAGCACAGTATCATTAAAAAAATATTAGTTTATCCAGATGTTACAGTCAGACATAAGCATTTAGAAAGCAGTCAAAGAATAGTTGACCTTTCTTTGGTCTAAGTTGATTGCTTACAGATCACCAATCAGCTGAAGTACAAATCTAATGACAATTATATAGACTTAAATTCCAAAACACTCAAGTAACCCTGACAACAAAAAAAGCATGGTGAAGCACAAGGGCATGGGGAAAGCAATGATTTGCTTTCAGCACGCACAACTTAGAGAACTGTCTTTCACTCATGCTGTCTTGGAATACAGAAAAAACTGGTACCTAACTTATTTTGTTGGAAACAAGAATGTATCATTCGTCAGTGGGCAAATCGTGTGAATAGCCCCTGTGCAATTCTCTCACATCCAGATATATAAAACGGTTCTGCCTGTGAACTTTCCCACACTTACTTCAGCTGTTCAGCTCAAGTAAAAATAGGTCAGAAGCTGGGACATGAGACTGAGTTAATAATCTGTGTTGTTGGACTTGAATTGTTTTCATTCCTTCTTATTCTCATGGACCAATTTGTTAATATGGATTATATTCCTGTTCACTCAAGACGAACTTGGTCCCAGATTTGAGCTGAGAATTGTGTTCTCAGCTGTCTTTAAGCTTTTCCTTACCAAATGTTAATACATTACTTCCTTTACCACGGAGCATAGTGGTGTAAAATCCCATTTGCAAGGAAACAAAAATCACAAATGGCAAAAGAATATTAAGGAGACACATGGGATAATGTTAAGCACTCTAAACTAGTTTTCATATGGCCTTCATACTAGAAACACAAAATTATAGCACATGGAGCTATAAAGCAGGTGGTATTTCAATAAGACAAATGAGAAAATGCACCCTTATAATGAAATAAAATATTTAAAGCCCACAAAAATGTGAAACCATGTCAAAAAGAGCAAACATGATTTGTAACTGAAATCAAGAGAATAAAAATCGTGGTACTCTCTCAATTTATGCAAGGCACAGCAAAAAATCAGCATTTCTCAACTTTGTACACTTTTCATCTTTATAAGTTATTTCCAAACCAGGTGAAAGTACTCTTACATCATTAGTGAGCATGACTCTTCCTCAGTAACCAGTAGAACAGTACCTGGGTGTGAACATATACTGAAACTAGATTGTTCTAATATTTAGCATAATATAGTAAATTGGTTTTTTTTTTTTTGGTGGTACTGGGGCTTAACTCAAGGCTTTGCGCTTGTGAGAAGGAGCTCTACTGCTTGGACCACGTCTCCAGTCCAAGAATAGAATGAGAAAATGTACCAATAGTTATCACACACACACAGTGAGAGATGCTTCATTATTTAAAAACAAATATACACACCTAAATTTAATTCTGTAAATCATGTAAGCAAAAATGCCACACTAAATTATGCAAAGGCAAATGAGTAAGTATATAAAATGCTAATATTTTCACTCTCTTATGGAAACTTTTTATACTGGAACCAGAAGTAGATATTTTAGTTCCAAAAAAGAAACCAGACCTTTTTAAGGTCTTAATAATTCATCAGTGGCATTTAAGGAAAAGGCAAAGATGTCTGGGGGGGTGGGGAGAAGATATGCAAGATACGCCATGACCAAATCACAAGATACTGGGGAAAAAAACTTTTACCCATTTAGAGCTAATATTACTGCTGAAAATGACACTTTGGCCAAAATGACATAGACAAAGAATTAGCTTTATTACACTTCAGAAAATAATTCTCGTATCAAAATCATTGTTACAATGTGATTTGATTTTCCCTAAAACTCCTTCAAATAGCTCATATAATACATTTCAACTTAGATTTGTGCAGCAACTTGGGTTTTTACATAGAGTTAGTAAACACTAGTTCAATTAATTCTCATAAACCCTGTGCTATGATGGGTAAAATATTATCACTCCCAGTTTGCAGAACGAGTTAGAGAGCTGATACAAAGTCACCCAAGGTGTAAATGGCAGAAGTAGGAACATAACCAGTGCTTTTACTACTTTCTAATTTAACTATTAAAATTATCAAAAACAGAATAAGAAACAAAGGCTCTTTACTTTTCATGAACCTTGATCACTCTGTGAACTATTGGGATATCCCGTCCTTCAACTTTAAAAACAACTATTTCACCAGCTCTAATGGGGTCTTCCCGGAAATTTGTGAGAAACAGCAGGTCTCCCCTGTGAAAGGCTGGCTCCATACTTCCACTGGAAAGAAACACAAAGTCACCATCAGCACCAGGACCCAGAAAGATGATGATAGTAAGCTTACCAGAGTTGAAACTCTCCTCAAAAGTAACATTAAGTCTCAGGAGCTGTAAACCAAGCCACAGTGGCTTCCTTCTAGCTCAAATGATAACGAAATGTGAGAGAGCAAATGTTTTCTACTTGGGTTTAAGTGTAGGAAGGGCACCAGCAGGACCCTCTACAGTTTGCTTTAGATAGGAAAAGAGCCAAGAACAAGATGGACTTGGAAGTAAAAGTTGCCAAGTTTTAACCTTAAAACACCTTCCTATGTTCATCAGAACTCTTACAGATGATTCGTACAGTCTTTCAGTTATTTCATTTCATAGCATACTCCCAGCACCAGGACACTACAGAACTTGTTAAAGAAATGTGAAGCAAACAAATCAACTTAGGGAACAGGACCTACCCTAAAGCCATGCTGAGGATTGGGACAAAATTTGAACACATCTTGCTTCCTGTGGTGTCATCTTTTTTTATCATATTCTTTAAAAGCTCAATGCTAAAACTATTGGCTGTTTTGAAGTGGAAGGCAATAAATAATCCTCATGACACCAGTTCAAACCCAGGCCAAAATCTTTGGTAGATGCAAAGTAAACTGCAATCTACAGGGAGTTGAACTTTAAAAATTAGAACTCACTTGTACACATGTTTACGTTTGTTTTAATGCATGAGAAAAGAGTAAGACCTAGAAACATGGCCTGATAGTGGTTGGGCAAGTGAGAATGAGCAAATAATGTCTGTTCAGCAGGAAGTGAGGAGGACAAAGACTCAAGGCTAGCCAAGTGGAGCTTTAACGGAGACTGTGCCCTATGGAGCTGGCCCTCCTCTCCAATTGCCCAGCTTTGGTGCCCCCTTAGTGTCCCAGCAGATGCAGAATACAATGAGGAGACATGCAGCTAGACTGGCTATCACTGAGCACCTGCTAGGAAGCTTATGGTAAAGTGAAACCAGAACACTAAGTAGGGTAACAGCCCCAGCACCCAAAAACAGGAAAACTGAATTTTAAAAAGAGATGGTTATACTATGTGGGAGAGAGAGTATGTCCCGAGACACAATAGGAAGATGTGTATAGAAAACTGTCATGGCCAGAGGGCATTATCCATCCCATCAGAAAGCAGTTATTTTCAGTATCTCTCAAATAGCAACTTACAGGCCCTTTCCTCTGGTGCAGGATTTCCCTTAAGGCCACATATCCCTCAGGGTCATGGTTTATGCTGTCAAACCAAACTGCTTTGGAGCTATAAAGGAAGCTTTTTTTTAAAGCCTCTATGTACTACAATTTACAATAATGTGTATGAGTATTTCTCTGCCAAAACCAATCAGAAAATGCTTGTAGAAAACCCCTCTAAATTTGAGGCTTTAATTCCTCCTCTTTATCCTCTTCCTCCTTTTCTTTGGCAGTGCTGAGGATCAAACCATGTGCTCTAACACTGAGCTACACCCCAACCCCTTCTTTTTATGTAAAGTCTTAAAATACTTCCTACAAATGAAACCTGAATAGGAAGTATAACTACATAAGACACATAAATGTAAAGCTGTTGCAGAAGCCTGGTCTCCTTCTTCCTCCTAATCTATCCATGGGACCCCAGGGGACTCTGGAGCAGTGTGAACTCTAGTGAATCGTGGTCCCCTCAGCCCTGCTGTGAGCTTCTCTATCCTCAGGCTTCTACATTTATGAAAACTCAGGATCTCTACAAGGGCAGCCCTTGGCCAGTCACACAGGGCAGCCTGGGGCAGTGTGAACATGGTTGCAGCCTCATGTGTAGAGCAGGGCCCAGGGGAGGGAAAGGACACTGATTTGGGTGCAAAAGCCCTGTGTTGTGGCCTTGCTCCTGCAATGCCCAGTTGTGACTAACCAAATGACCACGACAGCCACTTACAAACGGGCTCTATCCCCACTAGCAGTAAGATTTCATGGTCTCAGACTGGCTGGACAGAGAGCACCCTGAAGCACCTACTGGTCCCAAACAGATCATATGATTTCAAACCAATGTAACTTTTTGCCCCTTGAATGACTTCATGGTTGCATAACAATGACTACAATATTTGCTTCCAAAACACACATGCTGTACTGTCACAAGCACAACAGTCTCTAGAAGATAGTGGTCATCTACAAGGGTATCACGGAAGAGGCCTGAAAAAACACCAGGCACTTGCTAGGCATTGGAGACATAGGATTGCAGCGAAGAAAAACCTCCCTGTATGAGTCTGAGAGGCAAGAAGAATGTGATGAAGTTTGGCACAGTCTATTGGGTAGAAAGAAAACAAAGTAGCATTTCAAACTAGTTACATTTACAAATCAGTTTTGCACACCAATAATGCATTAGTACCATATTGCTAAATTTTAAGTGGGTTAAATACATTAGCATCAACGTGATTAAATCTCTGAAGTATCTACTGAAAAAGATACCATTTTTCATTAAAAACTAGAAAAAAAATGAGACATTCTCAGAACAGGAAGGCTCTAACAATAAAAGAAGGCTCTAGTAGTTTGCCCAATTAGAATCCAGAAACGTAGTTATCACATAGGTTCTCCCTTCAGGAACTCTGCTCCTTTGTCCTGGGGCAGTGGAGTAACAAGACGAGATCGGGTTCAGGACCTACCTCAGCACCACCACAATTGGGCTCTCACTGCCTGTGAGGACGATCAATCCTTTCCATATCATGAGTGCAGAAGACACGATCATGGCAAAGTTTAAAACCTGGTAGTAGAGCTGAAATGAAAAAGGTGAATCCAAAGTGAAAATCACTGGCAGAATACTTACCAACCTGAAGCTGGAGTTGCACTTATGAAATAAAACAAAAATGAGGCGATTAGAACAGAAACAATTTCATACGAAATACAAAATCAGGCAATATTTTAACTCTTATCCATGCAATAAGCCTTCCAAATAGTCTCTACTTCAGGGAGAAATAAAGGGGAAAACATCACTCTGTCGGTCTTGCTTTGTTAAAGCCCCAGTGAGGACCTGTGAACAACTTCAGGGTTTCCAGCACCTTAAACCTTAATGGATTCTACTCAAAGTTCCTCTGCCACAGCCTCTCAATCTACACTAGCCTCAGACCCAGCTCCAGATAAAGAGTGTAAATCTAACTCAAAAAATCTGGCACATCCAGTGGGAATCCACTTGGAACGCTTTAGCGCCATAGCCAGAGACGGCCTCAAATGGAAGCATCATGGTACCTAATAGGGCTTGGCAGTGAGGTCTCTGCATCTGTTTGTTCCCTGTTGAAAGGGAACAAAAACTTTAAAAACCTGGATGTTTGAATTTTTCATAAACATTTTAAAAGGTAAGGAGCACATATTTGGTGAGGAACACGGGTGGGACAGTCACAAGTCAACATTTAATAGCTGTTGTTAGCTAGGAGAAAGGTTTTGGCGGTACTGGGGTTTGAACTCAGGGCCTTGTGCTTGCTAGACAAATAGGTGCTCTACCACTTAAGTCATACCTCAGCCCTTTTTGTTTTGGTTATTTTTGAGATAGGGTCTCAAGTTTATACCCAGGCTGCCTGGACCACAATCCTCCTATTTACCCCTCCTGAGTAGCTGGAATAACAGGTAGGTACACCCCATAGAGCTTTTATTGATTGAGACAAGATCTGGAAAACTTTTTAGCCTGAGGTGGCCTTGAACCAAGATCCTTCCACTCTCTGCCTCCCAATTAACTAGGATTACAAGTACAAGCGTGGTTCACCAAGACTGGCTAGTAGAATGGTTTTAAGCTACACTTGCCCCTCCTCAGACCACTTCCTTACAACCTGGAGGGCTTGCCCTAGCACCCTCCCTACTCAGCATGTAGTGAAGTGCAGGCTCTATATGGCCATGGCCATGGTAGTCATTCCTGCCAACACCTGCACACACCCAACACCCAGACCTTCAGCTGAGTTGTCAGTCAAATGCCTACTAACCTCCAGGAGGCTCTCAGGACTAAAGCTACCCTATATGGTAATACTCAAAGGTGCAAGCCTCTCAGGCCTGGCCTTTGCTGCTCTGACTTTGATATCTGCCTCAGCTTTCCTACAGGTTTCAAGGTCATTTGCAGAGCCACTGTGGATACTGACTCAATGTAGAGGCTGCCTCATCTCCAGCAACCTTCTTCCCTTGCCCTAGCCCATTTGCTCTCAGCAACACACCCCAGAACTGAAACTGCTCCAAGTCACTATCTCTAATTCTCATGCTTTTCACCTTTTAGAGAAAGAAGCCAGTCTAATTCACACATCCTCCCCTCTGCATTCAGTCCCAGAGGCATCTGCTACCACCAATTCTGGAGTCTTTCAGGATTCCACAACACAAACAGTGAAGTATTGCTCCTCTGCTTCCCTGGGCCACTCATTGGCTTGGTTTTCTCAGGCTGTCGGTTCCCATTCTTCCATCTGTTTTACAGGTGATCTGGTTTGCCTGGCCTCCTCATCTTGGAATAATTGATGACTTAAAATCTGCATACTGAAGTTTTAGTTGTGTTCCAAAGAAAGTGAAATCGTGTTAAGACTACCAATACTGAGCTTCCCAACTGCCTATCTGACATTTCCATGTGGACGCTGTTAAAGGTATCTCAAACTCTACAAGTCAGAACTGAACTCATCTCCCCAAATCTCTCAGTGATAGTGTACCCATTTCAGTAAGTGGCATTATCATTAGTTGTATGGAGCCAACCCCATCCATCCATTCTATTCATTTTACTGTCTAGATATTTCCAGAATGTGTTCATTTCTTTCTATTCTCACTGCCACCACTCTCATCCAAGTCACCAACTACTGCAAGAACCTCCTACAGGTTTCCTGATATCCACACATGCCTCTTCCAATCCATTCTACAGTTAGTGCTTGTTTTCAAATTTACATTTGGTCATATCTATGCCCTACTTACAGTCCTTCAATTGTATCCCTTTACTCTGAGGATGAAGACAAAACAGCCTTGAACACTGTCTGATAGGGACCCCTATTCCTCAGCTATCGCTGGTGAAGCTCACCACGCCCAGTACACCTGAGCCATCGGTCAGTGCTTCAGTAGTACATGCACCTCTCCACCCAGGCCCTTCTTGGACCCCTGAGCACACCAAGCACTCATTCATTTTTAAGTCCCACTTTAATCATTTGAGTCCAGAGGAGGCCTTCCCTGACCTACTAGATTAGGAGTCTGCAAACTTTTTGCATAAAGGGTCAGATAAGAAATATTTTAGGTTTACAGGACCCATAATAGCTCTTAAAACCACTTAACTATGCTGCTGCAGCAGAATGAACATGGCTATGTGCCAACTAAAATTTTTCTTTTCCTTTCTTTTTTTTTCCCATAGGCAATATGTAAAAGAATGAACATGGTTATGCTCCAATTAAATCCTTCCTTCCTTTATTTCTTTTTGTAGTATTGGGGATTGAACTCAGAGCCTTGAAAGCACTCTATCTCTTAAGCCATACCCCTAGTCCTTTTGTTTTGATTTTAATTTTGAGTTAGGGTCCGACTGCCTTTGCCCCAACTGGCCTCGAATGTGAGATCCTCCTATTGTGCCTCCTGAGTAAGCTGGCATCATAAGTACTTTATGAAAGTAGCTGAAGCACTGGAGTTTGCCAACCTTTGCTGTTGGCCAGCTGTGGTCTTCCTGTTAGATAGTCTCACTGCATTTTGTACCTGTTACAGCTCCATCACCATAATTATACACAATGTGTCTTTCATACTAGTGACAAAATAAACAGCTTTGATATAAGGTAAGGGCAAAAAAAATCAGCTATAACAAAAACACTGAAATCCCAACAAAAAGAGGCAAAAACCTCATAAATTTCCAAAGAGGAAATACCAGCAGCAAGTAACCATTTAAAATGTTCAAATCAATAATCCTGGTACCACTTCCAGCCCATCTTCCCCATCCACCCAGCACATTTAAAACTTTTATTTTTAATGCTAAGACTCAGTGTTAGGAAGGGCACCCTGCAGTGAAGATGCAAGTTGATACAGCCATTCTGGAAGCAATTTGGCATTAGTCTCAATAGGATACTCTTGGCCACAGAATCCTACTTCTAAAAATTCAGTAAAAAATACAGACAGGGAATTATGGTCCAAAGATATTTATTTCTAATAATGTGGAAAAGGAAATAAATAACCAACACAAGGGAAATGACTGACTAGAAAATGGCAGATTACTCCACTATTTCGAATAATACCAAATACTTAAAATATGCTGAGCAAAAAATGTGAACTGCAGCAAATGATCTTAGGATGGCAGGATTTCGAGTCATTAAGTTTTCTTCACTAAACTTTTCTCTATTCTTTAAAATTCCTACAATAAGCCTGGACTAATTCCAAAACCTAAATGTTTAAAAAGTGTACAATTTGGCAAAATATTATATGGCCTTTAAAATAATTTTGAAGAGTGATAAAACATGAAAATATAGTCTGATACAATAGTAAGTAGGGAAAAAGCACAAAAATGTCTCTTTCTAATATTGCAGCTATGGGGAAATAATATGATTTCTAAATCATATTACATTACAAATATGTAATTTGAGGCATTATGAAGGATACAATTGAAAGTGGCAACATAGAAAAGCAAATCAAAGTAACTGTTTAGGCATTTTGGTGCAATCAATGGAAATAGAAAAACAAATATAATTCAGTACTAACACATTTTTAAACTACTGGGTTACTGAGTCCATAAAAAATTATAAAACTATCACTGTATTCATGGGAGAGTGAAAAATGAAACAAGAGCTGAGTGGACACTGTTAAACTACTGCCTCTAAAGTAAGATCAGCCTTGCCAGTCACATCAGTCCAAAGCGGAAGTAGTTCACAGGAGTTCACATTCAGAACTTTCCCCACCTGCTTGGGGACTGCTTAGAGGACTTGATAAACATCTGCTGTTTCATTATGAATTGGGAAAACCCCAAACCATGGTTTTAAACAAACATTGTCATTTTTAGATAGGATTTTCAAACCATCACGCTCCACCCTGATAAAAGCAAATTATAAATTCTTGCCACTTATCCAATAAAGGCCTTGCACTAAAAACATATTTTCCAGTATGATTTTCTATGCTTAGAAAATTCATGGAGATGAAATAAAATCAATTCCTCAAAAATGCTTTCTTTGATCAAAGCATCTTTTTGCTAAATAAATGGTCAAATACATAAAAACCTAACACTCAGACTAGCTGCAAAACTACCAAGCACACTTCCAACACCCTGCATTTCAGGCGTCTATGGACCTGAGTCTAAGTTTGACATCCAGAAATCTAGAAACCTAAATTGACCAGACTACTGACAAGCTGAACCAGATCTACAACATATACCACCATGTTTCACTGGTGCCTTTTGTTGCTCATTTTTGGCTACCAAATGTGTACACTCAGCACTCAACAACCCAGCAGGGTTTAGAAATAAGCCCACATTCAGTCATTGTCAACAAAAGATAAAACAGCCACTTTCAAAGAGTTTTAAGCAAACATTTCAGACCAGAGATTCTGGCTATAGAGCAACAGAAATGCCAGTAACTGTATTTCTTCCTCTCTTCCTTACTGCAGAAACAAAGAACCCTTGCCTTACTTGTGGCTCTTTCTTAATAGTAAACAGGGGCAGCAGGAAAGGAGGTCTGCTTTCAAAAGTAGTGGAGCATGCAGGACTCACAAGATGTCATAGTATGCGTCTTTTAAGTGAAAAAGAAAAACAAGCAAAAAACAAAACTATTTTTTAAAGTACCAAAAGGCAGTAGATCTAAATTTCTGAATGGTCAACGAAATCAGCTCCTGACAGGCCTACCAGTGAGAGTGGGCCTATCTTCCAAAGGGCAGACTGAGTTAGGGATTAACACACTCGTTAGAAGGCCTTCTCTGATAGTATGTAGTCATTAGTCACCAGTATCAAACATTTTTTAAAAAAAACTAGCCAATAATCTGATTTTAAAATAAAGCTAGCTCTCCTTCCTGGAGGGTATTCTATGAACAGCATCAGCCCTCAAGACATCAGCTGTTGGTGTTTCAAGCTAGTGATATTCTCCAGTAGGACTCCTCTTACTCAGAAGGCACAGGAGCTCGTCAGCAATACACAGCTGGACACAACCAGATCCTAAACTCGTTTCATGAAATCCAAGTCACCAAACTCTGCTGTGAGGCTGCACTCCTCTGAAATTCTACAGATAGATAGGGAGGAAGGAAGGGAGGGAGAGAGGGAACAAGAAAGGATAAGGAGGAAGGGGAGGAAGAGAAAAAAGGAGACAGGGAGAAAGAAAGGGGAGAAGGAGCCAAGGAAATAAATAAATAAATAAATACCCAAAGGAGTAAGTTGTGTCTTGCCATGGGTATCACGCTATACCTTAATATAATAGAACAAATGAAATCAGATGCCATCAAAATCATGAGACCTAACACCATTTTCAAAGACAACCCCCAGTTCTAGAAAGGTCCAATTTTTTCTTACCACAATGTATTCTTAGTAATAACAGGAGAAGTATCTATCATGGCATTTGGACAGGGCCCCCAAATCCTCTTATCACATTTATTCCTGGCTGAGAGAGCTTCCAGTCCCTCCACGCTCTTGCCTTATATTGAAGAGATAAGGGCCCATAGACAGTGATGATGGCCAACAATAACTGGGGAAGAAATGGCCAAGAAGGAAGTTTTTCTAGGAGGGCCTCTTGCTGAAAAGCAGGAAATCAACCCCAGCCGCTGCCAGTCCTAACTGCCTCCTGTAACACGGTGCAGCCAGAATGATGGAATCTGGGAAGAAAGTTGGAGAAAACTCTGGAAGCCCTTTCGGAACCCTGGTTCGGTCCACAATGATTGAGCACCGCCTAGGCGCTCTCTAGGCATAGGAACATTCTTGAGTTCCACAAAAACCTGCCCGGCTGGGAGCAGCTGCTTTAGGAGGTATCACCGGACAGCTCCCAGGGTCAGAAAGTTCGTCCCAACGCCAGCCTCTCTGCTGAGTCCACCAGATGGGTAGTCTAGCCTGTGAAGAGGCACGGGGAAAGCTGTTCCATGTCACTTCCTGGCCCTTCAAACTCGCGCGCACAGCTGTCACTCGCGCTCCAGTCATCTCTCCTGGGTTCCCCAACGCATGGCATTCATTGCACCGGGTTCTTATTCCCTTCCCCTTCCGGGCCACCCTCCCCTAATTTGGTCGTTAGTACAAAAAAGCACACACACACACTTGCCCACACGTGGGTCCCGGAGGATTTAAACCCAGGTCCTCCGAGAGCCCTGTGCAGGTCGCCACAGCCCGCAGTCACCGGAGCTGCCCTTGCCCAGTCCCTACCCCTGGAGTCCCACAGCTGCAGCGGTTCCCGGCCCCGGACGCACCCCCGACCCAGGCCTCCGTTACCTGGCGCTTGTTCATCTTCCTCAGGTCCCCGAAGATGTCCAAGCTGGACGCGGGGAGATGCGTCCCCACAGCTCCCGCACGTACCATGGCTTGGTCTCTGGGGGGTCCAGACGGCCAGCCGGCACCTGGTGTCACTGACAGCTGCGGAGTACCCGCCGGCCCCGCCCACTAGCCCAAATCCTTGCGAGGCACGTGGGAAGTAGCCCTCGCCAGGGCTACTGGGAATGGTAGTCTCGCAAGTCTTGGCCACCAGTTAGCCCTGAAGGAACCGGGAGGAGGAAAACTACCATTCCCAGAATGCCGCGTGCGGGGGAGCCTCGGCCAGTGAAGACCCAGGGCTCCTAGTGAGGGCAGCGACAGAGCTCGGGGACCTCATCCGACCCTTCCGAGAGAAAGTGGGCCAGTGGGTGATCCCGCGTGGCTCGGGGACAACTCGGGAAAGTGACTGCTCAAGAGGAACGGAATTCCAAAGACTCTGCTCAGGCGCCAAGTGGACACCTAAAGCTCTCTTGCGGGCGCCTAGCCGTGTAGCTTAGCCATTGGATGACTGCAGCAAGAGAAGGCGGGGCTTCTACCCTGGGGGGCGAGCTGTGAAGTATAGGGACGGGGGCCTAAAGATGGTCACGCCAGGTGGGCGGGGCTTGGAAGAGGCGGGGGATTTGAAGTTGCTGGGTTCTGTGCTCTCCAAGTGTAGTAGAATTTGAATGCAAGGGAGCATCTGCGAATCGTCCTGAGCGCACATGTGTCAAAGCGGATAGTAATTGAATGAATCATAACCAAGGAAGCGCACACGAAGAAGCAGAAGCACAGAAAGGCTCAATGACATGGCCAAGGTTAAATTGTAGAGTCTAGTATGGAACTCAAATTCTAAAGTTCCAAGTCCTGGATTACTGCACTCCTGATTCTAGATGACCTTTGATTCATTCGCTCGCTCATTTATGCTTTAGTTATTTGATTGGTTTATTCACAATTGTTTACTGAGCACAGACTATGCACCGGGCCGTATTCTAGGCACTTGAGAAACATCAGTGAAAAAACAAGCAAAATTCCTTGCACTCGTGAAGCTAACGTTCTACCAAGAGCAAACATAACAGATAACTAAACCGTACAGTCCCTAAAGGGTAGGGGTGCTGTGTAGACAAAAGGATCCCTTGGTGAGCCCTGGGGACAGCACGTTGAGATTTAAAGTATGCTAGAAGCTGATTTACCACGAAGCTAATCAACGGTAAGCTTTTGGACTCTACTCTTCAAAAGGGCCTTTCCAAGGTCTGGGAGGAACATGCCCATAGAGTTTTGTAAAATTTTTCAAGCAAGGTATTGAATTTCTATCAGTTAAGAGTCCTGTTTCTTTGCATTCCAATGTCCTCTCCAACATATTTCTCCTCCTACTGGGGAGAAAAGCATTTTGGTAATCCAGCTAAAGAGAAATTGAAATCGAAATTTGGTTTGGATTTAGTAAGTGTATTTATGTGGCTCGTGGTCATTTCATGCCATCCGGGCACAGGAGTGTCTTCTATAGGAATGCTGCTGCCCATTTGCCAGCACACCTGACATCATCACAGGAAGAGGCACTAGAGATGGCATCTGATATGACAGCATCCTATAGCACCTGGCCTCTGAAGTATGTGTGTAGGTTTGAAGTGTCAATCCAGAAACTAGTCTGTGTTGCTTGGGAAAGGGACAGAAGGAAGGGGAATATCCAACCCCATCCCAACCCCAACAATGGAAGGCTGCTTTTGGGTGTATGTAGCCTTTACCTCTCTGAGGAAAAAGTGAAAGGTGAGTTGCTACACCTTTAAACAACTACCATTAGTAAAGAGGCACATTTGGAGGCAACACAGACCACTCTGAGTGTTTCTTAACCCATCTACAAGTGACCCATGCAGCTGCGAGTTTTAAGATGTGACCGTCACGAGAAATGGCTCTGCAGCAAATTCACCTCCTGTGCATTTAGATCATAGGATCCAACAGATACAATAGTAACTCGAAGTGTTGCTGACATATAGGAAAGCTGAATGAAAACCCAAGCAAACACCAAATGACAAACAGAACAGATTTTTAGGATATTGAAGGACATTTATGCCGTCATCCTTAGATGATGATACTCATTTTAAAAAGCAACTTCCATATTGCCATCAGTCTTTGGGTGAGCCTGAAAGCCCAACAGTGGAACCAGAATGACCATGTAGCCCAGGCTTCCTATCAGTTACTGTATGGATGGATGAATAGATGGATGGATGCAGCAGCAATTTCTCACCAAGTAGAAATGATATATGAGAGATAATATTCAGGCAGATCCAGAAGGAATGAGTGACTTGAATAAGCAGGTGGCCCAGACTCCTTCATTATTGTATTACTTCCTTCTTCAAGCCACACCTTCTGTCCCCTTTGGGAATTACCTTATGTGCAGTGAACTGAGAAAGGAAAACCTCAGCCTGATTTGCAATTAAGGCTGTATGTTATGCCTATGCCAGTACTGCCTAAAAGTGCACCATTGTGCACCATAACAGCCCCACATAGAGGATGTCATAAAGGACATCCAAAGGGAAAAGCTTCCCAGTAGACAGAACTGCAAGTAGGATGCTGAGTGAGAGAATGCCAGGAGTACAGGGCTGTAGACATTTGTGGGATTTTGCCAGTGGTTTTTCTGGATCATCAGGGATGGGAAGGAAGAAGATTGGAAAGTTAGTGACATGATACCGTTGAAAAGGTATGTGGGTAGACATCTCAGCATAGATAAAACTGTGAAGATATTTTTATGCCAAGTGAATGTCTACATTTCCTACAAAGGAGTTTCATAATATCAGATGGAAAAATGTACATTATACATAGAATCAATTAACCTCCTTCTTCAGTCATTCCAATGACTTATTATGCCCACAATTTAAGTGGGCATAGTGGCAAGATCTAGATTATATATGGGTCAGCAACATGGGCTTTCCTTTCTCAAGGGTGGCCTGAATATTGCTACTGCTGATTGTCTACTCTGAAAATAATAGAGACCAACATTGAGCCCCAATATGGCACAATGCCTTGGTTGGACCAGCCAGACGGCTAGCATCAGTTTGGTTGACTTCTGTCATAAAGGAGGCAGAGATCTGTGCACAGCAACAGAGACACATATCTGTACAGAGACATTCTTTCCTTGCCTCTAATGCTTCTGCCAACACAGCCACCTATGGACTCGCAGTATGCTTCACTCAGCATCATGAATTCCACACAGCATCACTAGGGTTTCTGATCAAGGAATGAATTTCATAGCAAAGGGCATACCAACATTGGCTCATGCCTACGCACTAAAATGCGTTTACTGCATCTTCATCATTCAAAAGTAGCTCACCTGAAAAGTAGGTTGGCTTACTGAAGACTTGATAAGGGCATCAATGTAGAGACAGCACTCTGAAAGATTTTAATTTATTTTAAAAAGTGCAGTGTAAGCTTTGAATTGATGACCATTTTACAGTGCTGTCTCCATAGCCAGAATGTAGGCCCAAAAATCAAGTTTAGTGAGAATGATTCCTCTCACAATATACTTAATAACCCACTCTCAATATTTTTGCCTCCCATTTTGACAATTTTTAGCTCTGCCAGTTTGTCCCACCAGGGGACATAGCCACGGGTCCATCAAATTGGCAGACGAATGGCCCTCTGATCCCTTGTACTTCTCTATGCCACTGAACCAGAAAGTATTAAAATGGCTAGAATAATTAATTCATATTGCAAGAAGAAAATTGGATTACTGCTGCATAATGGTGCCAAGGCTGACTATGGCTGGAATCCAGTAGATGTCCTGAGGTGGCTTTTAATTCTTCCATGACCAACAGAAGAAGTTAATGGAGATTACAGCAACCAAAAAACAATAAGACTCTTAGGGATTCAGGCCCTTCTCCACCATGTAAATAACACTGATCAGCCAAGGTTCAGATTGAAAGTGAAAGAATTATACAGAATGGGTAGTGGAAGAACCAAGTCATATGAACCTGATCTTGTGACCAATCATAGAAATGAGGGTTATATCAGAGTTGCTTATTTTCTCTTTGTCTATTTTATGTACATCTTAATTTTATAATATGCCTGTTTTCTTCTTCCTCCTTCTTCCTATTATTAATTTACACAAAATTGTTGGAGATTAACTTCCCAAGTTAGTTTTTAGCCAACAGGATATTCATATGCGACTGAGACTGAATTTGAGAAGTAATTAATTAGCCAGTGAGAATACAATGACTGAGATTGTGTATGTCCCCATTTTGGAGAAAGTGGGAACTGTACTTACAGGCATGTCTTGTTGGTTGGAAATATAGAATCATTTCATTGATGTCCAGAAACTCAAATATATATAGGAGGAAGCATATGAAGCTCAGTAGCTAAACCAGTGACCTACCTGTACTTGTTACCAGTTTACAGCCTTTCTTCAACTCTACCCTTCTTTGCCCTGACTTGTGATTCATAGCCGAGCCCTGTAAAGCTTTCTCCTTTGCCAGCAGGCACAATGTTAAGCTTTACCAGTAGAGGGCACTGGAGGGACAATAAAGGAGGGAGGGTTCCTAGGGTATGTAGGTACCAGTGGTGGGCAGGGCCTCTCCCCAGTTTGTTCTTTCCTTGGATGCTCTGCCTCAGCTCTATTAGTGGGTGCTTCTCTCCGGGTCTGCTGTTCCTGCATGCCTTAGACATCTTTTCACCCCATAACTGTTGGCCCACTGTTCCAGTTGTTGGTTTTATTAAATATTCTTGCTAAAATTACTCTCGTGATCTTTTAACTGGACCCTGACTGGAATAGCTAATCATTCTAGAAGCTGCTCCAACTACCAAACACAGATTCTGGCTCAGGAAGGTTTGTTCCTGCTGTTGTTTTAGTCACATGAGTGACTCATGAGTATTGCCACCGAAAACCCAAATTCCACACAAATGAAATCTCCCTTCACCCCACTCCACCCTTTCCAGCCCCAATACACCCCAGCACTGGGAGCTTCATGTGTGTCTCTCCAGTCCTAGCCTTTCCCTTCTGATTAACTGTTTCCAGTTTTTCTTTTGAAAGTGTTGTCTGTCAGGGTGTGATTCTGTAAGACAAAATTCCTAGAAAGTGAATTAGTGAGCCAAAGAGTGTGAATGTTTAACATTTGACCCCAGAACATCTTTTTCCATGGAGAAATGCACATAAATTTTCCTTTGGAAATCC